AAGGCGTCTTCAATCCCTCCCTGCCGCCTCGGATTGCCGGACCCCCTCCCCGCGGCCATGCATGGATGTCGACGCTCCAATCGACGGGCAGACAACCAGGAGGAAACCTCCTCCACTGCTGCGAGCCTTTTCCCCTTCGTCAATCCTCCCTCCTTTCCTCCCTCCCTCTTTCCCTTTCCTAAACCGGCCCCATCCTCACCTTCAGATCCCCCAACGCCTCCTCCGGCAGGAGCAATTCCGCCACCGACAGCTCCAGCACCTCCTTCTGGATGCAGACTCGAGCCACGTCGACGATTCGCGCCTTCCAATCATGCGGGGCCTGTGCACAATGGAAGGGACAGGTCAGGCAGGTAGGTTTCCGGTAGCATGGCCCCAGCAGTCGGTTGTGCTCGAAACGCGTGGGGCATGCTCCTCACCTTCCCCCCCCCTCCCTCCCTTCCTTTGGACACAGTAGGCAGCTCCAGAGCTCCAGCAACCCTATAAATCTCGACGCCTCCACACACTCGATCCTCTTATCTTAGTTTTTGCCTGCCTCGTACCTGGAGGTAGGACGTGGACAGTATATCTGCCAACGTGCACCCAAATTCCCGCTTTCGCTTACTTATTTCTTCTTTTTCTCCTTTCTCCTCTGCCTTGCTGCAAATATTATGCACCAACAAGTGCAGAAATTGGACGGTTGTCTCTGTTTTCAGCATCGTTGCGGCAGTCTGGGACACCAATTCTAGCAGCATCCTCGTGAATACTTTCCCGCTTGCCCTCTCTCCTTGTGTATGAGTGGCGTAGGCATGGTTAGCGGCTTGCATGAAAGTGGGGGGGCACACTTTGTTTTTGTTCCATTCCCGGGCCAAGCTTTCCGTGACGTGTTTGTAGCAGTAAGGGACAGTAAGCTCGTGGGTGATGATAGGAATTGCCTGTCGTGGTGGCGCCACAGGTGCTGATGAAGTTCCCGGGCTTGGGTTTGCTGGCTTGCTCATTAGCCCGTGCAAGAGATGATACTGCGGGCAGCGCGAGCCTGTGGGGTGTTAAAAGGAGCCCCCGCCCACACAACGGTGAGAGATCAGTCAGAAAAAAACTTGAACGTGGAGGAATGCGGGGGACGCGGCTCTTCGCCTCGTGTCTTTGGGTATTGTGGTTATAGTGTAACATCACAGCCGGCTCTCGCTCAAGTCGAGCGGCTTTAGTTCCATCTCTGTTGGGGTCAGTATTCACACATTATCGACGCCTGAAGCGATCGCAAGCTAAAGTGGTGCCACATAAACGACCACATGTGATAGAAAGGTACATGGATGGCCCCCTGGTATTGGGGAGAGAGTCGTATGAATGCTGGGAACCGCATTTTTTCCCTGTTGCTTTCATAGGGAAACGCGGTTTTCCTGTCTCCCGGAGAGTCCAATATATTTTTTTCTCTTGAAAGGCCATTTGTAAGTATCCTTTCCCCCTCCGTGCTAAGCGGCGTGCCCCTAGATAATCTTGGGGGTTCTTGCAGGCCTCGTGACTCGTTGGTGAGGTCTCTTGTCCGAGTTTGTAAAGTGTGGCTTGGAGGCGCTTGTCGCTGCCCTGTCGCCAAGAAGGAATTTGAAGCTCCCCATGGTCGTTCCACCGAATGAAAGGGCGAGGGAAAACGTGGATAATTTCCCTCCCTCATCAACGGCACTTCGAGAAGACATGCACAAACATTACATTTGTCGCAAAGATTCGTGTCTGTGCGAAACTGTCTTTCTGAGGGGCTGCTTCGCGGCGCTCGACGGCGAGGGAGAGCCTTTTCTTTGTCGGCTCTGATCTGTCTCGTTTAAAGTCGCTCTCGTGCCATTTTTAATCACGGCATAATTATTTGTCCGCATTCTGGAGGATTTAATTACTGAGGCACAATTTTGTCATGCTCACATCTCCGTTTTCATGTTACTTGATGTTGCTCTTCAGAAACGCCGGCTTCCATACCAGGCAGGGCAGGCATGAGCGAAGACGCCGGGAACAAAAAAATCGCAATCCCTGCGTCCCCAGTATCGTGCAACCTAAAAGCCGCACAAGAAGACGAAAATGTCTTCGGTCAGCTGTTTTGTCTGGCGAATGCCACCGCAGGCAGTTTGGAAGCGTTGTGGGAGGAAGTCGGGTGCTCCTCGGAAGAGAGGCGCGAGCATTTGAAAGGTACGTAGCCGACCCGACCTGTTCCAGAATCTAGAAAAGAGGACACGATGCGGTAGAAAAAGGGAGACGATGAGCATGACGATCGGAAAAATCTGGACCCAATGTGGGAGGAAGAT